TCTGTAGACTTTGATTGAACTTTGTGCTTTTAAATGGAACAGAAGAATCTCAAATGAGCCTCTTGGCAGAATCAGGGTTCCGGGTGACTGGCAGGGAGAGTCGGGGGGTTCTTTGCACAATAGGCAAATCAACAGATTCAGGCATCCTGCTGGGTGAGCACGTTTAAGAAAAAGAAAAAAGGCCCACTTGTTATATTTTAAAGGCGAATGACTCAGGCAGACCTAAAATGGAGGCATAAAGAAGTTAGACGTGCTCCACCTTTGTAAAACCTGACAATCGCCCTATTGTAGCAAAAGACAGAAGGGCTACAAGAGGTGTCATTTAAAATGAAGTTCTTTGCCAGCTAAGGGAATCAGCCTTATGGAAGTTCAGTCTCCTGTTTTTTTCCTCCTTGTAATATTTACATGATTTTTAATGATTGGTTTCCTTTAAATAATATTTAAATAGCTCTGGGTAGATAATTAAATATTTACATTTACTATCACAGAAAATGTGAGCACTGCTAGACATAAATGGAGGAAAACATAGGGAATAAAGGAAAAGCCTAATCAGCAACTATGTTTTTTTTTAACTGCATCATTTTTTTAGATAAGGTTGGTTTACAACACTGAATATGACTTCAGGGAGTAGGTCCACACCTCTTCAGGTGCATAGAACCACATACATCCACCACCAAGGCACCCAAGTCCTCCACCAGAGTGCATTGGGCACCCCCTCACTTTGCTCCCCTCCGGAGCCTCATTTCTACAGTCAGATTTCAAGGGTTTGTTTTTTCAGTTTCTTTGTTTTGTTTCTTTATACGCCACACATGAGTGAACTCATCTAGTATTTGTCTTTCTCCTGATTTATTTCACTTAGCATCATCCCCTCCAGTTCTATTCATGTTGATGCAAATGCCGAGATTTCATCTCAGCTTTATAGCTGAGTAGTGTTCCGCTGTGTGCATACACCATATCGTCTTAATCCACTCATCTGTCTTTGGGCACTTAGCTGTTTCCAGAACTTGGCTACTGTAAATAGAGCTGCAGTGAGACTAGGAGTGCAGGGATCCCTTCAAATGAGTGTTTTTGCATTCTTCTGACAGATATTAAGAGGGGAATTGTTGGGTCTCCCCTGGTGGCACAGGCAGTTGAGCGCCGCGCTGTGAAGCTGTCCACAGCCTCTGTAGCGCTGGTTCGATCCCGGGCAGCCGATGAGGGTCCCACATGGCGCAGCAGACCTCTCCTGCTGCACCCGCTGCTCCCCTCAGCAGTGTACTTCGTCAGTCTGCCTGTTCTGTTCCCTACTCTGTCTCTGGTGAATCCTCTCACCCTCCCGCGCCTCTGGCCTGTACCCTGGTTCTTGTATAAAATTAATAAATAAACAAACAAATAAATCAATCTTCAAAAAAAAAAAAAGAGTGGAATTGCTGAGTCATGTGGTGGGTCAATTTTTACAATTTTGGGAGAAACCTCCATACTCTTTTCCATAGGGCTGGGCGAATTTACATCTGCTCCAACAGTACACGAGGGTTCCTTTTTCTCTACATCCTCACCAACACTTGTGTCAGGTCTTTTTGAAATGGGCCATTCTCATGAGTCTGAGGTGGTAGAAACTGTGTTTATAATCCTTTCCTGACACCGGTCACCAAAAGTCCTTGAAAGCAACATAATATCCAGCCATCAAAGTTCATCCCCAATTTTTAATGGATGATCCAATCTATTTTCTCAGAAATCTTTCTACAAGGGACGCCTGAGCATCTCTGAAATATTATGCTTTCTTACTCACTTGAAAAATCTAACCTCAAAGTAATTTATGAGATTCATTCTCCCTTTTCAGCATAAAGGAGAAAATTCTCCACCACTGAAAAGGTGCCATGAATAGCTCACTGGGTGAGCCAGACGCCTGCTAAAAACGAGTGGCTGCAGAATCTGACAGTCAAGACATTCAGCTGAGGCCCCCCATGAGTATGTTCTAAACAAATGTTCCTCACTGACAGCTCAATGCACTCATCACCTCTGTTCCTGGGTGCTGACACGAGGCAGCATGATTTCTAGAGAGAAAAAGGAAGGAATCCTCCCCAAGGATACCTGTATTTCCAATTTTCCCTAACTTTAGGAGATCTGGGTCTTTGTCACTATTGGCTTATGAATATATTTCCTAAGAGAGAGGAAGAAGTAAGCAGAAAAGAGAGCCAGAGATCAGAGAGAGAAAAATCGTACCAACTTTGCTATCAAAACATTATTAGATTCATTCCTTTGACATTCTGACAGTAATTGCGCTGAGAGGGATAGGATTTTGTTCAAATTACTTTAAAAGGGTTGTTGAGAAGTTCCTCCAGGAAAGCCAGGCAGGGAAGTGCAGTTTGCACTCAAGTTTCCTGTGTCACCCCCAGAACCTGGAGCAGCTTAGGGCTCTGGTTTTTCACAGCACAGTCACCCCCTCAACCCCACACCCCTCACCCCACAGCTGTTCCTCCCGTCTCTCTTCCGCTGTGGACAGCAGAGTGGGTGATCCAGCTGACTCACTCATGAGCTCTTTGCCTTTGTCGTGTTCGCACACACAGGCACGCTTGCGACCAGCATCTTCCTAATAATGGCAGAGCTGTGACACCACAGGCTGCACCGGGGTATTGTTGGGAAGAGCCAAAAATAGTGTTATTCACTTAAAATTTCTGAATGTTCCCTTCCTGGCAGATCTAATCTCAAAGAGTTCCAATAAAGTGTGATTTCATGACAACATGTGTGACTAAAAATACATACAAGGGGGCCTCTTGCTCAATGAGGAAAGGCTCCTCCCCAAGCCACCTTGTCACGGTTCTGAGCCCTGACACCCGCACCCCCAGGGTCTCGGCACTGAGGCACCGGGAATGGAGCTTCCCCCAGGACCCTCCCCGGGCAAAGGAGACCGCCTTCTCCACCTAGAAAGTCAGCTTTATTCATTAAAGATCTAACATGAATGGAACTGGAGAGGGATGATGCTAAGCAAAATAGTCAGAGGGGAAAGACAAATACGGGATGATTTTACTCATGTGGACTATAATGAAACAAAACAAAGGAATAGACAAGATTAAACCAAAACAAGCCCTAGAAATCTAAGTGTAGAACTGAGGTGATCAGAGGAGAAGGTGGAGGGTTAGGGGGCAAAGGGAGAGGAGGGCCCAGGGGACTGTAATTGAAGGATTATGGGTGGTTTGGTGGTGGTTGTGGTGTGGGGTGTGAATCCTCATAGACAGTGTTGTAAACCAATGTTAGCTCAATGAAAATGTGAAAAATATAAAAATAAAGGCCTAGAACTGCTTTCTTCACTGGTCAGTGTGACTTTCAAACTGATAAAAGGTAACAGAAGATAACACTGAATTTTTAAAAATATGTTTTCTCAAAACAGAGTTATTTGATCTAGTAAATCAATTCTGAAGGGTTATTATGCTCTGTCCAAAGATAGAATTCTCCAAGACAAGTGAAAACATAGATTCACACAATAGCTTGTGTGTAATGTTTGCTGCAGCCGTGTTCACAATGGCCAAAAGGTGGAAACAACCCAAATGTCCTCAGGGGTGAAGAGATAACGTGGTTGGTCTATACAATGGAGTACTACTCAGTCATCAAAAGGAATAAAGTACCACAGCTGCTACAACAGGGCTGAATCCTAGAAACATGCTGGGTGAAGAAGTCAGTCATAAAAGACCACCTACTGTTTGTATCCATGGATAGGAAATGTCCAGAAAAAAGTAAATCCGCAGAGACAGGGAGTAAATTAGTGGTTGCCAGGGGCTGGGGGGAGTGGGGAGTAGACCGTGACTACTAATGGGTATGGCCTTTCTTTGGAGGGAAGATGAAAATATTCTAAAATTAGATAGTGGTGATGACTGCACAGGTTTGCAAACATACTAAATAAGCTACTGAATCATACTTTTAAATGGTGATTTTTACAATATGTGAATTTTATCTCATTAAAAAATATCAAATAGATTCGTGCATACATAAACCTGTGTGTACATATGGAAATGTATACACACACACCATATTTTATACCTTGACCTTGCTTTTCAGAATGAGAATCAATGAAACATGAGCCCTAATTTTTCTCAACAACCTAGAGTAATTATTGATTGCAATTTCTTGAGGGAAGAGCTATGCATTTATTGCTGAGGTGAGTACTTTCTGGGGAAGAAGGAGGGCACTTTGATATTTTTGTTTTATTTTAGTACAGCACTAAAAGGAGGCACCCCCCACCGATGTAGGAAGGTTAGATTTGTTCACTTTCCTCGTGGAGCTCCTACTTGGGAGGCAGCAGGCAGTTTTTAAAAAAAGGTTCACTTTCATAATAATTCAGAAGACTGGTTTAGCTTATGGAGAATACCCCTCACATTCAAGGGCAACTTCACAATTGGAGTGGTGACTCAATCCAATTGAACAAAATAGCTACTGAGCAACTGCCATAACGTAAGTCAGATACAATGAAAGCATCATCCCTAGCTCAGAAACACTGATGCTTGCGATGCGTAAGATGATGCCTTCTTAACCTTGGTGCTTCTATCAAGCCCCTGGCAACTGGTCTCATTACTATGCAAATAATAATAACAACTTGTTTTATTACTTTGCAAATAATAATAACAGCCATCACTTACACAGCCTTTACTATGTACCAAACACTGTTTCAAGCTCTTCCCACATATTAACTCACTTACCTTACAGCTACCTTGAAATCAGTATCATATTATTCTCATATTATTCCCATTTTATAGAAGAGAAACAGGTCCCTAGTGGTTAAGTTACTTGCCTAGGATCACACCACTATTAAAGAGTAGAGCCAGGACACAAACTCAAGCCCCCTGGCTTCGAGACCCCTCTTCTGACCCCACACTGGCAGCAACCCAACTCACAAAACAATTCTATTGAGCAAAAACATGGAAGAATTGTAAAACAAGGTACAATGAATTGGCTTTGTAGGAAGCACGCTGAGCACCATGACACCCACTGGGCAGAGAGAAGCAATCAAAAGCAAGGTGAGCCCTTACCTGTGGACCACTCCCACCCGGTGCAGGTGCTCCACTGCAGAGATGAGCTGCCTGATGTACCTGCGGGCTTCCGATTCCTCCAGACGCTTCTTCTCGTAGATCTTGTGCATCAGGTTGCCCCCAGGACACAGCTCCATGACCAGGTAGTAGCTGTTTTCTGTCTCTAAGATATCAAGAAGCTGGGTAATGTTGGGGTGTCGGATCATCTGCTGGATCTGTCCCTCCCGCCGAAGGTTTTTGGTGACATAGGTGTCCTTTTTGGCTCTCTTCTTATCAATGACTTTTATGGCCACCTAGGGAGACATCCAGATATGGCTGTCGTCAGACATGGCAGCAAAGGTTATTCCCTGACTCTCCAAGAACCTAGGAAAATACACAGCTACAGAAGAAAACCTATATAAAATAGTGCCAAGGGAGAACAGAAAACTGTATCATTGCAAAGATCAAAAGATTCCGTTTTTAAGGAGGAAGAAGACACTGGAAGGTCAGTGTTATGCTTGACTCTCGGTAGAGTGAAATGCCAAGCTCTCCTCCAGCAAAGGTCTCCTCCCCACCCTCTCTCAGGGCTCACCGTCACCCCCAGGCTGGGATCCCAGGCGTCCACTTGTGACACAGCCATACCTGCGGCTAGGGTGGGGTCAGGGGAGGAGGGCTCTTGTCCTGCCTCCCTGCCCTCCTCTGCCCTGCTCCAGGCCCCCAGGCCCGGCTGCTCTGGCTGCAAGTTTTCCCTCTTGCCCTTGGTGGATCACAGGAGGGTGGACTCTCCTCCCACTCAGGACCAGTCTCACTGCTGATCCACAGTTGCATCTCAACCACCCCCAGGCCGCTCCTTCTGGGTCATCCCCCCCACCCCTGCAATCAACACACCCCATGTGCAGACCCTCTAGCCTGGGACAAGGGAAAGGTACAAGGGATGGAGAGCCAGGCAAGGGAAGAAGGGAAGACGAGAGGAAAGGCCTGAGTGAGAGAAGTGAAGGGGAGATTGTCTTTTCCACCCAGATCTGCACCCCTTCCCTTCCGGGGCTGTCAACTCTCCTCTCCCCAGCCCCCACGCACGCCAGCTTCTGCCCTTTTCTTTCCTCTTCCTCCTCTCTCCCATTGACCAGCTTGGACACCATGACAGTTCCGTCTGCAAACTGCCCTCCTGCCTCCTCCTCCCTTCCTGCCTCCCACACCAAGAGCCTGGTTCATTCAGAACCTCCTCTGCGAGCACCCACATACTTGTCTCTAAGAGAGGCCCGGGCATCCCTGCAACGGAACAGAAACAGAGGCCTCACACCTGTATTTATTTCCTTTTTTTTGTAAATATTTTTTGTACAGTTTAATAATGCCACTCAGTGTATTAATACCGTGGTGTGACATAGCTCAATCATTAAGTGGTTGACCAATGACAAATAGATACACATATACACAAGTTTGCAGTGACAACGCCGACTCTAGTTTCATGACATTAGTTCATGATCAAATTAATAAATGTTTGGTACATAGTAAAGGCTGTGTAAGTGATGGTTGTTATTATTATTTGCAAAGTAATAAAACAAGTTGTTATTATTATTTGCATAGTAATGAGACCAGTTGCCAGGGGCTTGATAGAAATAGAAGCACCAAGGTTAAGAAGGCATCATCTTACACATCTCAAGCATCAGTGTTTCTGGGCTAGGGATGATGCACCCACATTCCCCCTCCACCCTCCCCAGGCTCATCTGGGCCCCTCAAAGTCATTCTAAGCTCTGTCTCGAAATTAGTGGATCTGGAACTCTGATTTCTTGCTTCGGACTCACTGCTGCTGCTCCATTCCCTGGGCCCAGCACTCAAGCATCCCACTGGCCCTTCCATATCCAAGCTCCCCCTTACTCTCCCAGCATATGCATTTGGTTATTCTCCAAGCACTCACCAGTAACCCCTTCACCCATTCAAGACCCCCAGTCCTTCAGATGTTAACTCAACGCCCACCCCCCTTCTAGACAGACTCCCTTTTAATTCCCCTTCTTTTTGTTCTCACCATGCCAATCACCCCAACACCATTTAAAGCACTTAATGCAGGGACCCCTCTCTCCAGCACACACCGCACTTCATCAGCAGTGAGTGGCCAATAGGTCATCAATGGAGCAAATCAATGAGCCTTTTTTAAAACTGTTCAAGCAAAAATAGCTGCCAACAGCTTAATCTATTTCCTCTTCTGGAGAACAGAATCTCATTTTGTTTTGTTTTGTTTTTTTAATTATAGTCATCGCCACCTTATCCACAGTTTCGTTTTCCATGTTTCAGTTACCCTCAGTCAACCTGGGTCCAAAAATATTATGCAAAGTAAGATATTTTGAGAGCAAGACCATGTTCGTATCATTTTATTACAGTATATTGTTCTGCTTTATTTTATTATTTGTTTCTGTAAATCTTTTACTGTGCCAAATTTATCAATTAAACTAATCATGGTTTTGTGATTAGTTTTGGATAGGAATCATATATAGGGTTTGGTCTTCCCCATTGTTTGGGTCTCCACTGGGGCAACTTGGAATATATCCCCCATGGATAAAGGGAATCTAGTGTAATTTTAAGTTGACATATAATTTACATACAAAAAAACTGATAGTTTCAGGTATATCACATAATGACTGCATATATGTATTTATCACATAAATGATGACAGTTCCTTTGCTGGTTCTTGGATTTGGTGGTGTTAACCCACCACCACAAATAGTCACAAATTCACATGCATGCAGAGAACTTTCAAGATCTTCCCTCTTAGCGACCTTCAGATATACAATGCAGTATTGTTTGCCCTAACCACCAGGCTGGACTCACATCTCCAGAATTTCTGTATCCTTTAATTAAATGTCTGTACCTTTTTACCACCCATTTTAATAGCAATTATGAGGCCCTGAAGCCAAAGACAAGACCAAGAAGCAACCAAAGAGACCAGACACACGGCAGGAGGCACAGCCCTCACCCCATACACCTCACTGCCAGGGACTTGCCCAGGCCGATGTCTTCGTTATGTCCTAGGTTATGCCCTGGCTGTAGTTCGATTCAACTAGTTCAGTAGATGCTGGACTAAAAGTTGTAAAAACTGTACTCATTCATGATCAAAAGAAAAAATAGATACATCCACATGTATCTAGATAAAGTTATAAATGATAGGTGACTGATAGATGAGAGAGATAGCTATAGAAAATAAACAGATATAGACGATAAATGGATGAGTGGGTGGGTGGGTGAGTGGATAGATAGATCAATAGATAGACAGACAGACAAATAGAGACAGACGTCTTCATTCTCCTGTAGGGCTGGTGAGAAAGGAATGCTGAAAAGTATAATTAGATTCTGTCTTTGCTTGAGTCTGTTGTAATGTTTTAAAAATTGCACCCTTTGGCAATGAAATTCTTACAAGTACTATGAATAAACAACAGTTTAAGAGCCTGGCAGTAATATGATCTGCCTTTTTTAACAGCACACAATCATTATTAAGATAATTTACTTAGCTCTTTAATTGCCTGTAGTAGGTTACATAATGGCCCCCCAAAGACATTAAGACCTAAACCCTGGAAGTATGAATTTGACCTTGTTTGGAAAAAGGGACAGACTTTGAGGAGAGATTAACCTGGGTTATCTGGGTGGAGCCTAAATCTCATCCCAAGTGTCCTCATAAAATAGAGGCAGTGGGAGATTTCCCAGAAGCACAGAGAAGGCGGGAGCCAGGAGGCAGACAGCAGCCACCGAGCCACGGCCAGGAATCAGCCGCCAGGAGCTTAAGGGAGCAAAGGAGGGGCACCCCCAGGGCCCTAGGAGGAGCCCGACCCTGTCCACACATTGATTTTGGTCCAACGGAATTGATTTTGGACTCGGACCTCCAGAACATTGAGACAACACATGTCTCTTGCTGTAAGCCATGTTTGTGGCAATTGGTACAAAGACCCAGGAAACTGACACGTGCACAGTGGTCACTGGTTGTCTTGGGCCCCCTTCCAGGGCTTCTGAGCATCTTCCATGAAAACCGTTATCGACCTCTCCTGGGGTAGGTTCCTGACGAAGCCACCTCTCCACTTTCAAACTCAGCTCCTCACAGCAATTGTTTTCATTCACCCCCTAAATGTGCAAGCCTTGCCTCGACAAAATTGAAAACAGAATGTCATTCTTGATTACACAGAACCATTTAGCCAACTGCATCTGTAACAAATGAAATGGGAAACCCGGATGGGAAATTAAGCAAAAGGCAATCGATGAACAGCAAAGGGAGGTGCCTGATTGAACAGTAATCAGAGACCTGCAGGCAGAACAGATCTAACACGATTCTGTGGTGACGCTGGTACGAGCACGGGTTTCTCATGAAAAGATAAACTGCTGTATCACGAGAATTTTAAAGAGTAAAACAAGCTGCACATGCTCACTGAGGACCAAGTCCAAGAACCAGACTAGAACTCCCAATTTGGTCCTTGAGTGTTTGAGGGACGAGGAGGGGATGTGAGGGGAATATTAAGCCTGGATATCATCCTCAATGTATGCCAAGAAAAACAATTTTCGATCTTAGTTACAGAGTAGCACCCCCAAAAGATTCATTTGTTGATTATTAATTAACTGGAATCTGCAGGGTCCTAGTAGGAATTGAAAGAAAGCATTTCCATGGAAGGGGAGGGGCAGTGCCACATTTTCCACTTACATGCAGTCAGTCACCTTGAACTCTTGAGCCGGCAACTACTGGGACTGGGGTTAGAGCTGAGCTGTCAGGTGCAGCTCTGTAACACAGGAGGCAGGTGGACTTCAGGGCTACTGCCTTTCCTGCTTTAACTTGCACCCAGGGACTTGGAAAAGGTGACTTGGAGGACAGTCGTGGAAGAGAGACCATGTAGAGGCGTAAGTGAGAGGCAAAGTGAGGAGCTCTTCGCTTGCTTTGTATTTTTTGTGTCTCTCCTTCTGTCCCCAACTTGCTGGTCCTTTTCATCCCTTTCAGGTCGACCCTGTTTGGCTGGGCATTGCCCACAGGGGATGAGTAATATGGGGTGTTTTCCTGGGTTGAAGAATATTCTTTTTTTCTCCTCTCTCCCCATGCACACTAATTCTATTAAAGATCTACCACACTCAGAGTAAGCTTTGCCTTTGTGTATATATACAGATGGCCAGATCCCTTTAAATTGTGCTCCCCTTAACTGTTTGGGGTCCCTGTGTGCCCCTCGGTCATTCACTAACACATTCATCATAAAGAATGGAGGAAGCTTTGATGATTTCATGGCTCACAGGTGTCACTGCAACTTCCACATCACCTCTGCCTGCAACATTCACAAGACATCAGGCAGACATT